TCTAGTCCTCTGTGGCTATGTCACTGACTCTGGGCCCAAGAGTCCCCAGGTCTTGCCACACTGCTGGCCAATCAGGTCTTCACCCAGGTTCACAGAAGTCTATGGAACATTGTAGGGCTTAGCTCACCACTTCATTGCTGTTTTTCCCTCACTTCCCCTTATCGGTGTCGAGCGTGGTCACCAATCACAGCATTTTTAAAAAATGGGTTTTCTCATGGGAATGCGTGCATGAGTCTCATCTGTTCCATGTATTGTGCAGTGATGTCCGAGGTTACTGTTCCAAATGATTGTAGACTATCATACTTCTCATGTCTCTTCCTCTTTCTCTTTCTTATTTACTATAAAATTTGTTCACTGTTAATTTCTTCCTTTTGGTCCTAGCAGTCCATTCTAATTTTTAACTTCTACTTTGGAATCCTGGCGTGATACTGTAGGATAAAGCACAGGACTACAAGGTCAACTTGAACAAGGTTGGCAGTTCAAACCCACCAGTTGCTCCTCAGAAACTCTATACAGAGTCACTCTGAGTCGGAACCGATTCAAAGGCACTTACCACCACCATCACCATCTAGAAAACTAGATGATGTTGTGTCTGAGTCAATTCCAATTCATAATGATTTTGTAGGGCTTCTGATGACTGGTGGGTTTGAACTGCTGTCCTTGCGGTTACTAGTCAGTGCTTATCTTACAGTGCCACACCAGTGCCCAGAAAACTAGATACCCAAATGTCTGACATGGGTTTGGATTGAGGGAGGTATTAGTAAAAAGCATGACAGCTGGTACCGGACCACATCGGGTGGTTTGAGATAGCTCTTTTTGACTGCTCAGAGGCCTTTTTCTGTTTCTCTTAGTGCCAGTTTTTTTGTATAGGTTGGAAAGTTGTTAGGGTATATTTAAAAAAAGAAGAACCTGAGCTGTTAAAATACTAGAGAACAAATGAGAGCACATGATTTTAGTTCTGATATCATTTGAACAAAACAGCTCAGCTACTTTTCATTGACTACTAAGCCATTTAGCAGTGAGAAATTGAAATGAAGGAAATCACTTTATGTTGTAAAAATGCAAAAAGCATCTCAAGATAAATTCTATTTACTACTGACTGCTACTATTTAAGGGAGTCCTGTGAGTTAATATTCGGGACTTCAGAGGCAGTTTGAACTGCAATGTCAGTGGTTCAAGCTCTCCAGCTGCTCCTCAGAAACCCTATACAGGGTCGCTATGGAACCAACTCAGCAGCACTTAACAACTACTATTTAAAAAGAGGGTATGCTCTAGATAAATCAGGCCTGAGAGTTTGTGAATTAAACTGCTATGTTCCCTGTAGTATAATTTTAAAAAATGATGTGATATAAATTCACTAGCATTAATATGTTGTTGTTTTTTAATGTTTTATTATGAATTACGTGATAGTTTACATGGGAGAACATTAGCTTTGCATTCATCCTATGTTGTTTCATTCCATGGTTACAAACCCCCTCCATGCATCATCAACCAACCAAAGGTATACCCTGCAAGCCTGCCCGCCCCCCTATCATCAGCACACAGCCCCTCGCCCTCTCTGTGTCTAAAGTCCCCAGCTGCTCCATCTCGCCATGTCATCATCTCTGCCTCCATCTCTGGGGTCACAGCTTCTCTGCATAAGGTCCCACTCGCTCTCTGCTCTTCTCCCTTGATATGGTCCCAGGGACCTCCGCTCCTAGACTGCAAAGTCAATCACTCCCCTCCTTTTGCTACAAAACGTCTACCTTTACATTTCTAATCCTCACGGTTAGTCCTGATAGCAGTTATTCACTATTGTACCACAAGAGACCTATCCCCATCTCCTTTTATCAGCTCCGTCCAGACAGATTGGATACTACTCAGTGGAGAGTCTACCTTCCTCTGTGCCCTCTAGATCTAGGCTCCTTCTTGAAAGCTTATAAGTCAGTCACTTCTTGCCTTTGTAGCCCCTCCATTTTGGGTAGCCAATATCTAAGTTGCCCATACTCTTGTGTCTGGAGGGGGTGGGAATGATCCTTGCTGTAAAGATTTGTTCCCTCTTTTGAGCTACTGCATCCATAGGTGTAGGTCAAGTTCATCAAATTGTATCATATTACTCTTTTTTTTCCTCTTCTAGTTGAGCTCCAATATGCTTTTTTATTTTGTAATTTAATATAAGAACATTTATATACTAAGTACCTTTTGGTGCATTTTTCCATGTAGTTGCATTTACATCATCAAGCATGTAATAAGGATATTTATGAATAAAATAGTTACTAGCTAAAATGAAAGTATCAGGCCTGTGTGATTGCACATAAGTGATATCCAGATCCTTTTTTAAAAAAAGAATTTCTAGGCATTCAAAGCTGTTATTAGGAGATGCTTGAGCATGAACAAGGACGCTTCTACTATCTTTCATGTACACATTTCTGCAAAGTTCCCACTGCACAGGTCCCGGCCGGTGTGTTGACTCCATAGTGTGTGCTACAGTGTGACATCAAATTTTCATAAACGTTCCAACTTGTAACTTAGAGGTTTCTCTGAAGCTTCAGCCATATGTGCCTTCATTTTCAGGAAAAGACCTCCTCTAGAAAATTCTTATTTTCTAGGGCCTCTCAGAACTGAACCAAAACAACATTGTTCCTGGAGCATCCTCTTTTTAAGGTACAAGTAATTTGGCTCGGTAGTTTCAGCTTGTTACCTGGTATTTTTTCATTCTTACATGGCTTGAGTGGAAAAGGAATTTTACTTCTGGCCCTAATCTTAATGAAACAGAAGAAGTTTTATGAAGTTTGAATGCATGAAATCTAGAGATTTAATTCTAAGTAAATGATGAAAAAAGCTGTTGGCAAGAATAAAACCCTCTAGCCAGCACTTCATATGCTTTAAATGTAGAGACATGAAAGCTGACAGTTGAAATTGTCTTGAAGCAAAACTTGTTCAATCAGCATCTCGGTCACAGCAACGTGTCTAATTTGCTTTATTTCAGGCCTTTGATTTCATTTCTCAGATTGTTTATGTGAAACTTGGCTATCAAAGTTGTGGAACTCAGCATTGTTTTCTGTCATGAGTTAGGGTTATAAATCAAGCTTTGCTTACCACTGGCAGCTGTGATCATTTAGACTAGAAAGAGTTTTCTGAGAGTGTTCAGGGTTTTATAGTCTTTTGCAGACTGCAGGAGACCAGCATTTAACAATGCTAGCACTTTCCCGCCAAGAGCTTGTCCCTCACATCACCACACAGTTTCCTGAGGGTAGTGATTAGTGAACAAGCTGACCCTCCTGTCTTTGGAGATGATTGCGAATATTGAAACATAAGGAAATTAGAGACGTTTTACAAAGTGTAATGAATGGATTTACACTCACACATGGAATATGTGTACTGTTTTTCTTCCAAAGAATCCAAAAGGACATTACCATGCCTCAGCATTTCTTCAGTGTTTCAGCTATTACATTGCTACAACTTAAACTTGGTCAACATTCTGTTATGTACTCCGGGGAAACTGAGGTACAGGGTTGTTAAGAGTTCGGCATATGATTGCCAGCTGAGTTGGGAGTAGAACAGAAAGCCACAGCTCAGAAGTTTGATTTGCTTGAACATTGTTGGTTGCTACTTAGCAGCGAGGCTGGTTTCTTAGAAACTGGGTCTTGGCACTGGGTCTGTTTTGCATGAAGATGTGATGGTAAGTGCATTTGTTTCTCATAGGTGACTCATGGGTGCAGACTACCATTTCCCTTTGCCGAAAGGGAAAGCCAGTTAACCATTAGGTTGAATGGCTGGAAACCCTATGCTGGGTCTCTGTGTGTCATAACCAATTCCACAGCATATAACCACCACTGCCAAGCTCCTCCTTAGGAAAATGTCACACAGCATTACTCCTAAAATCCTGTAAATCATGAAGAGGTATTTATTTTGCTTAGTTTAGACATTTATATTTATTCACTTTTTAATTTAGATATAAGAAATTTCTACATTAAAAAAAAACAAAACAAACAACCTGTGTTTGAGTGTAGTCATTTTTGAGAATTTCTTTCAGGGAAAGGGAGGGGGAGCCTGACGTGGTTTAAAAACTAGGAAAAAAAGATCACAATCTGTTAGTCTAATTTTCTTCACATTTGTACAAAGTATGGTGTGGTGGTTTTTCTTTGAATGTGCACTTAATAATGAACTTTACTTAAGAAATTTTCTGTAAACGGACCACTGCCCAGTGGATATTACATTTGTGTAGAAAGAAAATTCTTCGTCACCACGTGGCGTCCAGCCAAGTGTGAGACAGGGCCCCATTCAGTTCAGTCAGTTGTAGTGGATGCAAAGGTCTTGAACAGCAAGGGCTGTTTGCAGGCTGGGTTTTGTTGTTGTTGTTGTTAGCTAATTTTATTGTCTTGCAAGTTACTGTGTCTAATCAGAGCTACTTTTCCTATGTCTTTCTCTTAAGCACATAGTGTGCTAGTCTTTTTTTTTTTTTTTTAAGTTTAGTCATAATTCTTTTAAAAAACTGTGTGAATTTATAAGCTTGCCACTGAACATTGTTTGCTTGACTTTAACCTTAAAGCAGTTTTACTGGGAGAGATTATGTAGAATATCGATCAACATTCTATATTTGTAGCTGCATATTCAATTTGTTATTGTTGTTGTTAAGTACTGTCAAGTCGATTCTAACCCATAGCCACTCTGTACAGGGTTTCCAAGGCTGTAAATCTTTACGGGAGCAGAAAGCCTCATCTTTCTTCCGCGGAACAGCTGGTAGTTTCGAAGTGCTGATCTTAATGTTCGCAACCCAATTCGTAACCGCTGCGCTACCAGAGCATATTCAGTTTAGAGTCAGTGAATTGCTGTTTCCAGTTTAGGGTGAAATGAGGAATTTACTTGCAGAACATCCAAGAGAATGTGCCAGAAAAGGATCTTACGAAAAATAACTGTTGAATGTAAGGGGATGATGTGGGAATTTTAGGTATACTTCTTGTTGTTGTTAAGTGCCATTGTGTCACTTCTGACTCATATCAAACCTGTATAAGGTTTTCGGGGAGCAGCTAGTGGGTTTGAACCATTGACTTTGTAGTTAGCAGTCCAGTGCTTATCCTATAACACCACACTAGGACTCCTTAGGTATACTATTGTTGTTATGTGCCGTAGAGTCGGTTCTGACTCATAGAGACCCTGTTTAGGACTTCTGAGAAGTGACTGGTAAGTTTGAACTGCTGACTTTGTGGTTGAAACCAACATTGTATGGCGCCACACCAGGACTCCATTAGGTATCCTGTTATGGTTATTAACTACTAGGGGGCTTCAAAAAAGTGTGTGGAAGAATTCCATTGTCTTTTCTATTTTTCACAAACCTTTTTGAAAGCCCCTTATAGTATAAGACTACCTACCAGAGAGCCTTGGTGTGCACTGTGGGTTAATGTGCCACACTGGAAAGCCATTTGAATTGCAAGGTTGGCAGTTCAAGCTCACCAGCAGTTCCTCGGAAACACTATACAGGGTCGCTATGGGTCGGAGCCAACTCGACAGCACTTTACAACAACAACAACAACAAAAGTGACTTTTTGTGATAGGAAAATTATTTTATTTCTTAACAGTTTTTTTTTGTGTGTTGCTTATTGACAGAATTTTCTGAGGATGGAACCTCCAAAAACTAGAGAGACCAGATTAATAGATTTAGAGTTGCTGCTTTAAAGAGCTTATGCTTCTTTGATAAAAAACAAACAAACCCAACCCACTGTCATCAAGTTGATTCTACCTCATAGTGACCCTGTAGGACAGTAGAACTGCTTCTCAGGGTTTTCAAGATGATAAATATTTATGGCAGCAGACAGCCTCACTTGCACGCATGGAGTGACTTGTGGGTTTGAACCGCTGACCTTATGACTGGCAATCTAGCATTTACTCTATGATGCCACCAGTGTTCCTTTAACCAATAATCTTTCCAGAATTTGAGCGTGTTGGGTCTCATCAACTTTATTCAGAGTCATAATGACCCCATGTGACAGAATAGAACTACCCCATAGGGTCTTCTCGGCTGTAATCCTTAGGGAAGCAGATTATCAAGTCTTTCTTTCATGGAGCTGCTGGGTGGGTTTGAACTGCAAACCTTTGGTTAATAACTGCATGTATAACTGTTGCACCACATTTTTTTGGGAAACAACACTTATTAAAAAGGGGGCTGATGTATTGATTACTGTAACAGTGTAAATAGATTATTATAAGTCATATGTTAATCCAGTTAGATATGTGTTTTCCAGTAATTGCCGAAGTAGTTATTTTATACTATAAGGATTTGATAGTTCGTTAAAGGTGAATAAGACTACCTTCTTGTGTACAACACAAACTCTGCACTCAATATGGTCTGGTCTTAGTAGATTCACTGCTGATAGAGAGTAAGCATTTTATGCCTGACCACTTTTTAGCCCCTCATGTAGTATAATTTTAAAAAATACTTTTGTGTAGAGATCATGTGCTCATATTCTCCTTCCTTAAAACCCACAACATTTGTAAATTGGAAGCTGCCACTCAAGACTCTGTTTTGATGAGAAGATATTTGCCAGTGTGAAGACCAAGGGAACATGGGATTAAGGAATCTTTTGAAAAAGCGTACCTAGGACTCCCATCATTTCATCCTCCCATCATTTCATCCCTTGTAGTGTTACAAGATAGGACTTGAGAGTGAGATGAGTGGGCTTTCTTGAGTGGGTGTCTGTCTGAAGCTCCTCAAATAGGAAACAGTAGGAGATTCAAGGATCTCATCTCTGCCAAAGGGTGGGGGGGCTAGGAAATAACACAACCCAGGCTTGGCTGTGAAAGGGACAGTAGAAGAATCTTGGTGTTTCTAACTTTTCAACCAAATTTTTCTATTTGTAAAATATTGATGTTCTGTAGCATTTTAATTGCTCTTAAGTCCCTGCATTGCCTGGTGGAGAGTAATCCTTAAAGAAAGGTTTAAAGAAAATGACTCAGGTTTGCATTTAAGGGTTTTCTCTTTAGTACAGAGTACAGGTTGAGCAACATATTCAAAATTTGTATAGAAGTAATGTCTTCCCAGGACTCCTGGTGTGATGCTGTATGATCAGCACTGGACTGTGAAGCACAACGTTGGCGGTTCAAACCCACCAGCTGCTCCTCAGAAACCCTATACAGGATCACTATGAGTCGGAACTGACTCGACAGCACTCAACAACATTTCCCCAATGCTATAATTCCCCGAAAGTCTGCTCTGAACTATATAAAAATCAGAACCTTTGTTCTTTAAAAATATATTTAGAAATATAAATCAACAATGTATTTCTCCTTCTCCCTAGCTGCCATGGCTTTCCTGACATGGAGAGGAGGTAGTAAAATATTATCATCACCTTTTGGAGATGAAAAGGGAGTTTTCTTCCTAAGAGTGTAGGCTACTTACCGCATTAGTTAGTGAGACTGTTGTGTCAGCTAGTGTATGTGTATTTGAAACTGCATCCTTGGCCTCTTGATCCCTAGTTGCTAGCACTTCTCCCTTGTTGCCCCCAGTATGACAACCTAAAGATACCTCCAGACATAGGCAGATGTCCCCTGGGAAGCAAACTCATGCTAGATGAGAAAACTACTGCTTTAGATACTCTTCTGAGGTTTAAAGACACAGGAAACAGTAGCCATAAAGTTATCCCCTGGTGTCAGCGTAGAGCTGGGCTGCGTAGGGTTTTCAGTGATTGGTTTTCCTGAAGGTAGATGGGTGGCTAGACCTTTCCTCCAGGGTGCCTCTGGGTTGATGTGAACTTCTTTTAGATTAGATAGCGGTTAGCAGCCGAGCATGTTAACTGCTTGGACGCCCAGGGACTCCTAAAGACCTATACCAAAAATCCAAATTCACTGCCATGGAGTTGATTGCAGCTCATAGCGATCCTGTACAGGGTTTTCAAGGCTGTATAAATCTTTACTGGAGCAGAAAGCCACAAATTTCTCCCACCTAAACATACAAGGTCGGTTTGAACCATAAGGTCATCCCTTTGAACAAGGTTAGCGGCTCCTTAGAAACCCTATACAGGGTCAACTTGATGGTGCTTAATAGCAACAACAAAAAGACACAGAGGAGTCCTGGTGTGGCACTGTAGGATAAGCACTGGACAGGTAACCACAAGGTTGGCGGTTCAAACCCAACAGCTGTTCCTTTGAGACCCTTATACAGGATAGAGTGTTAAATACATGTAGAGTGTTAAATTAGCAGATGGCTAAAAATGTTAGCAAATGAATACTATTTGTTGAATTTTAGTTTTGGTCTTGTTGGAAAATTAAAATTTGTAAAGCAAACAGCCTTATTTTTGGAGAACCTTTAAAAAATATTTTTATTTGGAATTTTCAACTAGTTTCAACCGTTATAAAAACATAACTCTTCCAGGTGAACGTTAGCAGTTTGGGGCCGTCTTAATTAGAAGCCTATTTCTGTCTTTCTTAACTTTTAGTAAACGTATGTATTAATAATGTCTTTGGCTGGAAATGCTTGGCACAGGGCCTGTTTTAGATAGCATTAGCCAAAAAAGATCCTAAATTAAGAAGGCGAGCCCCACCCTTTCTAAATTCAGTTCATTCAGGGTCTCTGATTCTAGGAGCCTGGTGGTAGGCAAAGCTGAGCTGCTCATTCTGGGATGTGGGTGGACGCTGGCACAGACACTGCTGTGTAGCTTGTTTTTTCAGCTTGTGACCTCTGGTGTGAAGTTGTGAGTACATCATAAATGAATTTTTTTTTTTTTTTTTTTGGCATAGGAAAACACCCTCAAGACAGTTAGAAAGCGGAAAAGGGAGAGTGAGTGAGTGTGTTAAATTTACTTTTATATTTTGACAGCTGAAGGGAGAAACGACAATGAAACGAGATCACAGCTGACTTTAAAACTGTTTTGGACTTCTCTGTTGACACTGGCCCCTTGTCAGCAAACACTGTTCTCCAGATTTTCAGTGGATCTCTGGTTTTATTCTGATTCTGAAAGTATAGATCAGTAAACAGGAACAATTGCAGTATTGGTGAATTTTGTTCATTAAGATCATGTGAATGTGACTACTAACCCAAGTCTGATTTCAGATGAATTGCTTTTGAGTTTTGTAGCGCTGCTTTTTACCTTCTAGCTAGAGAGAATGTGCCAGGATTCCTCAAGTAACTGAATTGCTCATTCCTCTCTTTTTAGAGGTCTAGTAGCTTTAATTAGAGATCACATTGAGAGTTTTGGGTTTTTTTTGGGAAAATTAAAGCTAAAGCAACAAACAATTAATCCATGAAAGAAATTCTAACTGGTTTGCTGGGTTTTCCTCTTTGGTTGGCTCTTTTCTGAGAAACCTGTCATTTCTGTTGTTATTGGCGGTAACTTTTGAGTAGTTTTAACTCACTTAAAACATTTCAGCTTCTGAAGGATGGCCATGAAAATGAGCAAACTCTCCTTATTTATAACCTGTGAAGAAATTTGTATTTAGAAATAATGGCTTTTGCTGTCTTCTAATTTGTAAAATGATGAAGATAAACAATCTCTTAGTTTGTCCTGTCCCACACTGCCCTGCCCCAGTCATACCATTTAAAATGACCAAAGTCTGCAGTCTGTTCCTGTCTCCTTCATCTTCTCCACTTCTGCTTTTAGTAGTACAAATATTATAGATTGCATGATTGTGAGCATTGATGTCAGCTCTGTAACTGAATGAGACCATATCACACAAATCTCTTAGGAAAACAAATGGACATTTTATTATGATAAGGAAAGAGATGCAGAAGTGAGAAATTCTTCCCTTTCTTCAGGCAATGTTAAAAGTACTTTAAAATGGCAAATATTCAGTAATAAACATTATCACACCATACTCTACTGCTTCTCATTGTAAAATGAACATGAAGAACATGTGGGTTTAAAAGTCCTTTAAAAAAAAACAACACACGAAACACTGTAGGGAAAGTCACAAGCCCAGGAAATGTGCATATTCCAATGAGAAATGATCATCCTAGCTACATGCTAAATGGGACTATTTTCATACTTGCTTAAGTGACACCGATTTTGACTGAGTATTGACAGTTAAATATCTCCTCTATAATTTATCTTTTTATTTTCTTTCCCTTAAACTTTTAGGTAGAACTTTAGACTTCATAGCACTGAATTAACCTGCACTGAAAGCTGTTTACCTGCAGTTGTTCACTTTTGTTGAAAGTGACCATGTCTCAAGTTCAAGTGCAAGTTCAGAACCCATCTGCTGCTCTCTCAGGGAGCCAAATACTGAACAAGAACCAGTCTCTTCTCTCACAGCCTTTGATGAGTATTCCTTCTACTACTAGTTCTCTGCCCTCTGAAAATGCAGGTAGACCTATTCAAAACTCTGCTTTACCCTCTGCATCTATCACATCCACCAGTGCAGCTGCAGGTAAGCGTCTGAATCCAAGTGTCTTCTATTTCAAATGTTTTCTTAGTCTGTTTTCTGATCTGATAAGTAGGTTTGCAGTTGTAGGGAGTTCTCAAATTTACCTTCAAGAAGCAGAAGAAAGAATTGCCATCCACTCTTCTTTATCCCAGATGTGAAACACTGGTTATACATTGTGTTGTTGGAGATCTCAGTTGGCAGATCATTTCAAAAATTGTGAGAAAGGGAATTGAAAACTACTCAAAATAGAAAGCCTAGTCTAGTCTATTATAAAGTGGTGACTGGCAGAACGATTTGAACAATAATCCACTTTTGATATTTATTGTTGTATGGAATTTTAAAATTATTTCCCAGAAGTGACAAATAACTCTTATGTGTACAGGCTCTCTCTCTGTGTGTTGATGAGGTTTTATTCCAAGCAAAGGGGGCAGCCAGATTTTACTAGAAACAAAAAAGTATATTGCTATTTGTTCATTTTATTTCAAGCAAGTAAGTTTAAACTCTAGAGGCTCTAGAGATTAAAAAAAAAAAAAAAAAAGCAGATTTGGAAACATTCAAGTCTGATTAGGAAAATGAACTAAAGCTACTCATTGATTACTCGATACATAACTTTTTTTTTTTTTAAACGCTTAAAACCAATATTTTGCTCCTTGCCTTCCAAAGCAGCAAGACCAGTTAAACAAATGGAATGCCAGTATTGAGTGCCTCAGTCCCAGAGTCACCCTATAACAAATCCTTTTCCATATGCTAGAACGTGTCCCTTGCATTTCCTCCTTCCTTGTCCCATTTCCTTTACTTTGTAAATCAGTTCGTAGAGTGTTTGCTTTTCACACTTCATGACCTCTTTGCCCTGCTGTCCAGAGATCTCCTTGAACTGGCTCACCAGGTAGCATTCTTGGCTTGTCAGAAACTCCTAGACATTCAGTTTTCCCTGATTTTGCCATGTGAGACCACCTTCAAAGACAAAGGCACAAGAGTTATGTTGGTCCTTTGGGATTTATTGGTTTTTCTTCTAATAGGTTCTTATGTCTGCATCCTGTTGACTTTGCAGAATTCACTTCCAGCACGCCCAGTTTATTTTACTTATGGAAGTGTCAAAACTAGGTCATTCAGTGTCAGGATGACTGCTTCTGGAGAAGTTAGCTGTCTGGAAAATGCCAATCATTGTTTGAGAGAAGGTGTTGACACATTGAGTTTGGTGAACAGGGTATGATGATAGCCAGTGTTACTGGCTTGGACGACCTCTTTGTTACTCTCTGGTTGGCTCTACTGTTACTGATTTATCTGATGCCAAATCTTGCTTTACCTGCCAAGGTTTAGTTACTACCTTGACTTTTGTTCTCTTTTGAAGACACACCCTCTCCTTCTAGGTAGGTTATCCGGCTTCAGCTCGTTCAGAAAGATCACAGAAGTATTTTCTGCAGTCATATGCTCCAGTATGGTTTGCAGTTTGACATCCCTGATGCTCTAAATCCTCATTTCTTCCATTTGTTTTTCCTCTATTTTCCTACCCGTGGGAGAGCAGCAGTCTTCCATGCTGCTAGTTGACGTCAATGCTCTTACATTATTTTGCAGTTCCTTCTAACATGGCACACCCCAAAGAGAAAACCCCAATGTGTCTTGTGAATGAGTTAGCCTGTTTCAACAAGATTCAGCCCGAGTATAAACTTTTGCATGAGCGAGGCCCAGCTCACTGTAAGGTAAATATTGTCCATACTGCTTATGCATTTTTCAACCACCAGAAATGTTTTGTTTTGTTTTTTGACACTTTTGAAAGTAGTGCTGTGATTCCATTTACATATTTCAAACTGTTGAGGTTGTCTTCAAAAGATGAAAAAGGATAGATTTTTGAAGGGTTGCTTCTTTTTTCATACTTGCAGAATGGATCAAAGGAAAGATGGCCTTCTTTTTAGGATATTTGATGTTTAAAACTCCAGTTTGTTCTGTGGATGTTTAGAAATCTGAAGAGAGACAGTTCTCAAGCACCTGGGAATGATTGCAGTGCATTTCCTAGACTCTGGGTCTCCTTTGGTCTGCAGCCTACCTCTGGCTCCCTGCTTCTTACACGAGAGTGCCTTTGACTGGGCAGGGAGAGGAAGGGAATGGGAAGTTAGTTTTTACTCTTGTTAGCAATCCAGTAAAAGGTTTGAAGATAGAAGGTAGAACTTAGTCTCAAAGTGAGTGTTTTGCATTATCTCTGATTTCAGTTATCCATATCATTCTTCTTAGCTTAGAGAATGAAGAACTGGCTGTAATTTGCAATATGTATCCAGGAATTCAGCCTCTCAAACTTGTGTACTATCTGTGCCAAAGTGCATTTTGGAACTGAGTTTTTGCATTTTACATTTTGTGACTGTAGCAGAAGAGGATGGTAGTATGAGAGTTTGAAGAAGTGGTTCTCCTGTTGCTGATCCTAGTCTTGTAGCAAAGATAGTGAATTTAAGGAGAAGTTACTTAATTTCTTTATGCCTCAGTTTCGTGACATGCAAAACCTTAAACCTTCCATTTGCATAAAAGTAGCATCAGCCTTCACTCTCAGTTGGCACCATAGAATAACACTGCTAGGTGAGAGGACTGGAGCCAGACTGGTCTGGGTTGGAATCCAACTTCCTAGTAGCTGTGTGACCTTGGGAAATAAGTACTTCTTTTTGAACCTCAGTTTCTTCATCTGTAAAATGGGGAAAATACATACTGAGTAGGTCTGTTATGTGAGAAAATATTTTTAAAATGTAGGGTGTGATACTAGTATTTGGTAAGGGCTTAATAAATGGTAGCTGTTAATATTAAAGCAGTTAAGCCTTTAAGAAAAACAAACTTCCCATTCACATAAAGTTAATTTTAATATTATTTCAAAGCATAATTATATTTCAAATGTGTCTTCATGTTTGGGGGGCAAGCAGTCATTTGCTGTAACGGTTACACTTCTCCTACAGGATTTTTTTTTTTTGCAGACCTTAGCTTTGGGATTCCCTTCATTAACTTTTTTTCTATTTTTGGAAGCTGTTCTTTCTCACCTGGACTTGAATACTTTTTAGGTAGTCTTGCTGTATTGTTTGTTCAATCCATAACCACCTATTTTTACCCAGCAGTTGCTCTAAGAGGAGAAGTTCTCTCCTTCTGGGTGACCATTAGACTCTTTAAAAAGTCAGAGGTCTGGTGTACCTTTCATTCTTTCAAAACCAAGATTCTAACCATACTACCAACCCTCCACAGAGCACAGCTGAGTGGCAACAGCGCCGGATGGGGAAAGTCCCGGAGAAAGGCAAGACTGTTAATAAAATTAACTGTTTTTTGTTTTGCTTTTTAGCCTTTTCCCCTCAGTGCCTTTCCGTGAAAAGATCACCAAAACCCCCCAGGGACTGCACAGCATCTCAGGCTTCTGCTGTTTGCCCTTGTGGGCTAGCCAGGATTTTCAGGTCATGCTCAGAAACTGCAGCATACGTGCAGGAGCCCCTCATGTTTCAAGGGAGACCGAGGGTCTTTAATATTTCCCTTTAGTGGAAGATGTGTACTGAGGGAATCCTGAAGTTAAGACCTACAAGAAAAAAAACCAGTGAGGCAGGTTGCCCTCTCCCCTCAGACACTAGATTCAAATGCCCTTGAAGTGCCCAAACCCATGAGTCCCTTACAAATTATTTATAGATGGATAGAGTGATAGTCAGTGATAGAGAACACCAGAAAAAGAAAAGCACTGGTAGATTTGAGTTAAGATCCAAAGGAGTGGCTGCGAGGCATTAGGGTACGTCACCACCACTTTGGGAGTTTTTTAAAAATAACACACGCTGAGGAGTCTGCAGTCAGAACCCCTGGGGGCGGGACCAGAACACTCGTTACTTCTTTAGGCACCCCACATGTGCTTTGGATATAAACCAAAGTGGAGGACTCTCCGTTCTGTAGTTTTTGGGGGACACTATTTAATAATGATGGATTAATGGAACCTAATGTGAGAGTTGGGATGCACTTGGGTTACCTTTATACTTAAAAAGAAAGAAGGCGGCTTGCTCTCAGAGGCATGTGTTGAGGATCAGTGAGCTGTTCGGATGCTGCCTCAGATTGAGTTCAGAAACATTTGTAGATCTTTGTGTGCTGTGGATCTGATTTCCTTCTGAAAGAATGGAGGCAGCAGCAGAATAGTATATAGATTTTTTGTTGTTATGTGCCGTGGAGTCGGCTCAGTATATAGATAGAAAGCAACATAATAAATAGAACCTGGTTGACATTTTCAAATTTGCACAAGTTCTGGCCTATGAAGGGGTATGTTTTCATAAACACAAACACATTACAGCATCCATACAAATGTCCTAATGTGCAGGAGGTAACTGCCAACTTGTCTGAATCAAATTTGCTGAATTTCTTCCATGAGAAATCATTGGAAGACCCTATTTATTAGGTTGACTTACAAATGAGTCTAATATTTTCATATGTAAGACAGCATTTTTCAATCTCTATATATACCGCCATCTTTCAGATTTTAAAAGGAGTGCTATGCAACTTTCTTCAGTATACTGAAGAAGTCTTTTTCTGCTTATAAAACCAACAAAAAATAAACATGGTGGTGAAGGGATAAATCACCAAGATGATGTCTAGGCCTTTTAAATCATGACCATAAAAAATGTTCAAGGTCCAAGTGACATATACATTCAACATCAGGTTTCATGAATTGAGAGCTCACAATTTTCATTTGTAGGTGTTTACAGTACAGCTCACACTTGGAGATCAGCACTGGGAAGCTGAAGGAACTAGTATTAAAAAAGCCCAGCACACAGCTGCTGCCAAAGCTTTCGAAGGAACAAAATTTCCTAAACCTATAGCCCGCCCTTTTCGTAGCGAAGGAAGGAATCCAGGTATTATGCGTGGGCCAAGACAGGTTCCTTTCAAAAGTGTGTCTAGAGGTACCCATTTAGTATGTATATGAATTATTTCTTAACTAACTTAATGATTTTGAAAGCACAGATTTTACACTATCAGTGGCAAATGCTTATCTTCTAGGAATTCTTTATGTTATTCCAAAGCAGTGGTTCCCAGGCTATGGTCCCTCGATTCCTGGTGATCTGGAGAAGTGGTCATGAGGGTAAGGAGCGTGAAGGGAAATCACCAAGTGATTTATAAAAAGCATAATGAAAATACATTGTTTCCTCGTAATCAGGTTGTGTGTATTCTCAAGGAAGGTTGATTTTGCTGGAGTTGCTTCAACTCCATGTGGCAGTATCGATTCTGCCACGGCGATCATGGCCCTAACTGTCAGTTACATGTGTCCTGACCATGAAAATAACTAGAACAGCACTTACATATTTATTATTTAATAAATATCCACCTGAATTTAGAGATCATCTGAAGAACAGATTTGATGCATTAAACACTGAAGACCGAAGACCAGAAGAGTTTGTGGGATGACATCAAAAACATCATACATGAAGAAAGCAAAAAGTCATTGAGAAGACAAGAAAGAAGGAAAAGGTCAAAATGGATGTCAGAAAAGATGCTGAAACTTGCTCTCCAGCATAGAGATGCTAAAGCAAATGGAAGAAATGAGGAGGTGAACAGAAAATTTCAAAGATCAGTTTTAGAAGATAAAGCCAAATATTACAACAAAATGTGCAAAGAAAAGGAACTGAAGAAAAAATTCAAGCCTTGACTTTAAAATCGTTATTGAAAGATTCTCTGGGCAAATTATTGAATGATGCAGAAAGCATCAAGAGAAGATGGAAGGAAAACGCAAGAGTCACTGTACCAAAAGGCAATGAATGGTTCATGTTCAACCGTTTCAAGAGGTAGCATATGATCAAGAGCCAATGATACAGAAGGAGGAAGTCCAAGGTGCATTGAACGAATTGGCAAAGAACAAGACACCAGGAATTTATGGAATCAAAATTGAAATCTTTCAAGAAAGTGTGGTGGCACAGGAGGCACTCACTCATCTCTGCTAAGAAATTTGAAAGACAACTATATGGCCGACTGATTGGAAGACTTCCATATTTGTGCCCATTCCAAAGAGGGGTGACCCAACAGAATGCAGAAATTATCGGACAATCTCTTTGATATCCCATGTGAGTAAAGTGTTACTAAAGGTAATACAGAGATGGCTACAATCATACATTGACAGAGACCTTCCAGAAGTTCAAGTCGGATTCAGAAGATGCCGTGGAATGAGGGATATCATTGCTGATGTCCGATGGATCTTGGCTGAAAGCAGAGACTATCAGCAAGATGTGTACCTGTGCTTTATTGACTACGCAGAGGCTTATGGATCATGACAAGCTCTGGACAACATTGTGAAGAATGAGTATTCTGGAACACTTAATTTTGCTCATGAGGAATATACCTGGACCAAGAGGCAGTTGTTCGAACAGAACATGGGAACACTGATTTAAAATTAAGAAAGGTGTGCAACAACGTTGTATTCTTTCACCATACTTATTCAGCCTGTACACTGAGCAAATAATCCGGGTTCTATGAAGGAAAATGTGGCATCAGGATTGGAGGAAGACTCATTACCAACCTTGCTTGCTGGAAGTGAAGAGGACTTAAAATATTTGCTGATTAAGATCAAAGAGCACAGCCTTCGGTATGGATTACATCTCAGTGTAAAGAAAACAAAAATCCTCACCA